CGGAGACACGCGCTTACTCTGTCAAAAGTATCTATGTATGACGTCATTAATAGGTAAATAGATAGACAAGTACTTATAATAAAACGCCGTAATACTAAAAGGCAACTCAATTATAAGGTGTACGTAAATATCGTGCCATCTCTGTCGTTTTACAAAGGATTTGTAGAGACAGAACTATAGGTACATACTTAAGCGCGACTTAAAATTTAGTGACGTTTAAGTATTTGGACATAAGGGGCCATCCATAAATTACGTCACAACTTAAGGGGGAGGGAGGGGGTCGACGAAGTGTGACATTGTGTGACAAGGGGGAGGGAGGGATCCAAAACTTTGTGATGTCACATTTCAAAAACTAATAGTTAATCTGTGTTAAAATACGAAACATAAATGTATTAATGTTTTTTATTAAGTTAATTGTTTGATTTGACATTAATATTTTTTTAAAGTAATTTAAGTGAAAATACAATAGTTTCTATACTGTAATTCTGCAAATTGTGACGTCACACTGGGGGGGGGGCGTCTCACAAATGTGACTAGCTGTGACAAGGACGGGGGAGGGGTATAAAAATCATGAAATTCGTGTGACGTAATTTATGGATGACCCCTAAGTATCTTACTAACAACTGAATGACATACCTATGTATATAAAATAAAAGGAAAATAAAATAAATTATTGTAATTATAAAAGACTAGCTGTTATCCGCGACTACGTACGCGTAGAATATGGTTCCTGTTTCATCCTATGGGAGCATTTAATCAGCATAAAAATATACCCTATCACCCAAGGCAGTCTATACCCAGCCTGTATACAAAATTTTATCAAAATCCGTTTAGTAGTTTTAGCGTGATTGACGGACAAAGAATTTTCAATGTCAGAAAAATTGAATGGCGTTTGAGTATTTGGACAAAAATTAGGTATTGTTTTCAAGTTCAAGAAACACAATAAAATATAATTAAATAAGTATTAGCCAAACACCAATTAAAACATTTATGTAAATAATCTAATTTACCTATTTAATTGGACATCCAGTTGTTGCTACATATTTAACACTAGCTTTTACCCGCGGCTTCGGTCGCGTCACAAAAGGATAAAAAGTAGCCTATGTGACATATACCAATACACACAGCGCCATCTATACCAATACTTTTGTTTTCCCTCGGGAATATCAAATTTTTCCGGGATAAAAAGTACCCTATTAATTAATCCAGACTTCTAACTTTACGTCTGCAAAAATTCAAAGCAATCGGTTTAGTAGTTACGGCGTGAAAGCGGAACAAACAAACAAACTCACTTTCCAATGTATAATATTAGTAAGGATTAACTTAAAATTAGGCATTAATAAAATCTTATTCCAATGCACAACATTTGAAGGACATCACAGCTTACGTTGAGTCAAGAACACTGGTATTAATTAAATTTACTTAAATTGTCTACATGTATTAAATAAGTATATAATAATGAAGTAAGGCTAGATAAGGGTCAATGGTCAGCAAGGCAAATGTAATGACCAAATATTGCAAGCGTTCATAGGCCGTGGCCTGACTGAAATACCTAATAATTAATTAATTATTAGGTATTTCAGTTTTTGTCATAGACAATTCAGTTCTGAGGTAAGTATTTCATTACTTAGGTCGTGGTAGATGCCCAATTGGGCATCTACCTCAATATATATAGCATAATCAATTGATTATACTCATACACAAGCATTAACAAAATACTTACTTCAATAAGTCAAGTTAAATTTAATACCCCTAACTAAGCACATCTTTTAACAATGAGTAGGTAGAAATCTACTCAGACATATTAAACCAAGAAACTGAAATGAAAAAGAATGCTTTTCATAAAAAATCTAAGTCCTTCCAAAAAAGAAAGGCAGGTACTTATATACCTGCCTACCTTCATATTGTATAACAAGATCGATTTAGATATTTATGACTAATGTAACAAAGTTCACTATCACAAAATTCGTCTGATACTTACTACATTCATATTATTAGCAAACGATTTACTTACCTACCTCACACCAGAGACCAACCACTTGTTGCATGCCTCCATACACGTGCACCGTTCACTAACCTTAGATACACTCACGCCATCTAGTAACTAGTACAGTAAACTAATGACAGTCTATTGTTCCCGCCTTTATTTCTGGGAGTTTCAATACGACTTGTATTTCTGTTGAGTGATAAGAGATGGCAGCACTATGTAATTGTGAACGGGACCACAAGCAGTCATGCAGTTTTGTGTGTGAGCTGGGTAAAGATGTATGTTTGCCAAGATTCTATAAGTAGGTATCTATAATTTTCTTTATATAAAAGTTGTAAAATTTGTTGTTATTGTCAAGTAACTTAAAATGAGAATAAGAACGTAACACTCTACATTAGATTATAATTTGATTAGAAAATAAAACAGGGGTCTCATAAAAATATTTTTTTAATTACAATACAACACATTTACCAGGATAACACAGATTCATCACAAACATTGATAAAATTATTATTCATAAGATTAGACAATTAAAATAGTTCATAAATACACCATACATAAGTCTAGAGTACAATAATTGAAATAAATAATAAGTTATTATGCATCGCACAGCACTAACAAATTACAATCTCAAAATTTTTTTAAGTGGATAGTCATGTATTTATTACTATACATAAATTAAATAAAAAACAAAATAAACAGCCATTGCAAGTCAAAAGTTAGTGAAGCCTCATAGTAAAATAGGTTTTTTCAAAATATTATTCATTAGTAGGACAATAATTTTAGTATAAAAATAGGTATTTCTTAATTTAGTAGCCAAAATCTTAATACTTCAATGTTAGGAAATTGTTGTCTTCAAAAACTATAAAGATTAATACACAATAGTAAGATATACGAACAAATTTTGATAGCCAAAAAAAAAATATTTAGAAAAAAATTAATAGACAAAATTTTGAAGAAAAGACTTTTTTAATTTGCTAAAAAGATACAGCCATCCATGACTGCTTCAGTACAGACAGACATGGGTATGTCCACGGTGGGGCAGAGTGGGGCACTTGTCCTAACCAAACTTAAAAAATCTAATTCATTTATTTGGATACTGTGACAGTAGGTACTTAGTATTTGTATTAATTTTTGTATGAGAAGGTCAACTAGGGTAAGATGTTGCCCCACTCTGAGCCTATGGCTGGCTGCACCCATGCAGACATAGACTGTAGATATTATCATTATAAAGTATACATTTATATCTTTTGTAACTATTGGTCGGTTCAGTAATCAACTAAGGCTCTGAGGCCTTAGTACGAGTTTGATTTACGTTTAAAGTATTCGAAACGAGTTCGCATTCGGCACTCTGATTGGCCGGCGCCAATGAAGCAACCAATCATAGCGTACTAAGGCCTCTGATCTTTAAGTAGTTATTTTCTACCTGTACACTAAATAACCGATTGTACAACTATTTCTCAATAATCATGGTAAAGAAGACGGTGGTCATATTGGAATGATAAGTTTTATTGCGGAATGGAAGTTCAGGTATCGATAGTCATTTTTCCTATGGAATATTTTATAATACTGCATCGGTTAGGATGGAGTAGATAGGATAATGATCATTGGTAACAACCATTAAGTTTAAATGATACCACGGAAAAGCGGATAAATGGAGTAATTCGTTTTTAAAGTGACCAAAGAAAAGATGAATGGACACAATTTTCTGTGAAAAATATAGTGTAAGAGAAAGGAGTTTGTGATAACAACATCTAAGAAGGGAGAGCAGAAAAATATTGCATAAGATCTTAAATTAAAGTAAAACTATTAAGTAATTAAAACTTAATTTTAGAGGAAGGAATATGTTTTTGAGTACACTGTAAACTATTTATTTTGCCCCAAAACTAGCTAAAATTAGTCTCTGTGTGGCAATACTACATTTTTATTTTTATTGATAGCAACACTTGGAATGATAAATGCACCTTTATAAACTATTGTTTTTATAATATGTGACTATTTCTATTAAATGTATCGAATGTTATTTGTTTTATTGATCAAATAAATAAATAATTTATTATTGCTATTGATTGAATATTAAATAATAAAATTCGTTGTTAAATAACAAAAATTCACTTAAATAAAAATAATAACAAAATAAATATTCATAAATTAAGTTTTGCGTCGTGGTAACTACAGGAATATATTACAAACGACTAATAAGGGACTGAAATCAATTTGCTTATAGTACCTATACAATATAAATAAGTTTAAAAAACCTTCAACCTTTAAAACACTCATATTTCAGCTGTAACATGGACAAGTAACAAAAAACTACAATATGGACAGACTTTAAAATAAAAAAATAATTAATTAAATAAATAATAAAAATAACGGAATCTCTGTAGAAAACTACTTCAGATCAACAATTACTCATTTCACAAGATTATTACGTAAAATAACTAGAAAAAATAAAATTGCACTCACATTGTCATTCAAACTTATGAGGTACGTACTTAGCATTCCATTTATTATGCAATCCATTATCTATAAACATTTTACACTTAGTCTTAAGTTAATTAAAAAGCAACACCGAAGAAAGGTCTTCGATTATTTTTTTATAACTTTTTCACCGCTGTCTTCAACTTTATAACTGCCACATTTTCAAAAAAATACAATAAACACGGACAGATGTTTTGTCTCTCTCATTTCCTAATTATTGAAACGAGAAGACAATATTTTACCCTTCACAAGATACTTTATTCTTTCATTTATATTGTTGGCTTACCAGATGACCGTTCGTTACGCATAAGGCAATGCTAGTCTAATCACAGTAATTGGGTACTTGGCAACTAGTCAAAATAAAATACTTTTTTCGAACTGTCATAAACGACGTTATGTTATGAATTTTGTACGAGATTGTGTACTGTGACGTCACGTTTTAATAGCGTCAAACAGCATACTTATATCTGAAATATTTGCTGGAAAAATACTAAAATTAAGTCGGTCATAAAATCAATTATTGAAAGTGTGATTATTTTTTAATATTTTATTGTAACGAACAGTCGAAATAATTTATTTCTAATGAAGGCAAGTACCCAATTGTCATAAGCTTTTAAATTGGAAATAGCTCTTTAAACAATAAACCTTAAGTTATAGCCCTTACGGTCGAATACAGAAAGGCTTCTGAATTTTAAGTAGTACTTAAAAATGATGCCATCTCTGTCATATTACAAAGAATTTGTAGAGACAGAATTATACTATGACCTTTTTCAAGGAAGTCGAACCGGAGTTTTGTTGCGACTACAAAAATTAACCATTTTAATAAGATTTCCCAAGGAGGAGGTTCTCCAAAAAGGATATTAGGGTCAACGTACATAAACTCGTGTCTTTTAGGAAGCGCAACCTAAAATTGAGTAGCGTTTGAGTATTTCGACATTAGGTACGAATCGCTTTATATCTAACAAACGGTGAAAAAGATAAAACTGTTATAGCCGCACCAACAAATTGTAACCTTAATAATTCCACTCCTAAATTTATTGATTTTATCGTATTTAAATACACGTCGTAGTATTTAGGCCGATTTTATAACGATTATAAAGACTTTGTGAGAACATGCGCAATATATTTCGTAATGCGCAAACGTTTCATGCGCAGTTAAAAGTCTGAATGTCTAATTTGTGCCCAAGTTCTACAATTATAAGGATATCTTTTATGAGTTTATAGTACAAATAGCTATAGAGCATTCTCAGTTTGTAACTGATTAATTGATAGCCCCACTTTTTAGGGTACATAATATCCCATCGCTTAAATTGAGACATCACACATTTGACTTAGAACTGAGAGTTTAGTACGTTACGTTTCCCGAGAGCGAATCGAGACCGCGTTCGGCCCTCGATAGTTTATTGGAGCCGGCCAATCAGAGGGCCTCGCGATCTCATTTCGATCTAGGTAAACATAAAACAAACTTGTACTAAGCCTTCTGTTTATCAGAAACCAAGGATTAGCTTACTATTAAAATTAACTATTACAATTCTCTTCCTAAACGACTTATGGCAGTGTCCTCTTCAATGGCTTTAAGTCCAAAGTGCAGTCGGCAACATACCTTCCATAGAAGTGTTCCTAGGTGTTAGTGTTTCGTTGCAAAGGAATTCCAACGGCATGTCTACTAAATAGCCTTGTATAAGGTCTATTTTCCGGTTGGCTAGAGCTGGGTCCTTGTTCCAAAGACATTCGTTCTCTTCTTGGTATTTCTTTAGTTCAGCGAAGGTGTGTACTGCGTCTGTTGGTATTGTGTGGAATACCTGCAAAGGAGTTGTTATTGGATTTTATTCTTTATTTGATGGTTAATAAGGCCTATAAAATACTCCAAAAATTGAAATACTTTTCAGCGTACTAGGATATTAAGTTTTCTGTCCGAACAATGGAGGTTTCTGTGACCAGGCGAGATATTTTCTGAATAATATTGAAATACCTCTTATTTCACTATATGTAATTCGGATTTCAGTCACATTTTATTAATTTACTGGAAATATAATGAGCATGACTGTAACATGAAATTTTCAATTATACAAGTATGATTTAAATCTTTTAATTTTTTTTCTTAACTATCACATCTCTTGCTTCCTCACATCAACAGCCTATATATGGGCATATAACTGCTAAGCAAAGCCTCTTCTCACACGAAAAAGGTTTGAGCATTAATCACCACGCTTGTTCAATGCGGGATTACAAACTTATAATTAGAAATTATAAGTCCAGGTTTACTCACGATGTTTTTCTTCACCGTTAGTCAGTGGTGTCTGAATAATCTTAGAAAGTACATATAACTTGTAAATAGTCAGTTAAGTAATGTTCAGTCTGTTGTTCTTAAAACTAATAAATTAATTCCACATCAAGATACTCACATCTTCATACATATCAGTGTTCCTCTTAGATATAGCCTTCCAGTAGTTTCTATAGAACTCGTGGCAACTGGGATCGTCAAGTGATATGCCTAGCTTGTCTAGGTCTTCTCCCATAAGACCTAGATGTTCCCTGAACAGTCGTTTACGTAGTGCACCAGCTACTTTACCGCATGGGTAGGCTTCACCGTTCATTGTACCGTCTATGAACTGCTCGTCCTATGAAAAGAAAGTATCATTATCTATTTGTTATTGCTACTACATCCTGTATTTCCTGAAGGGTATAACCTGGGTGTCTTCAAGGCCCGAGTGAATAGGTTGCTTATGGTACGACGTGCTTCATCGTGAACGGCATCATCGCTGACCAGCAGGCGAGATCAAACGTCGGCCCATCAGATATTAAAAAAAAACGATATAAGCTTTTAAAAAAAGAAGACTTTAACTTTTTTTTAATGGGACAAGCCCGCCACAACTTCCCAAAACCGCTGCAACTCCTTTTAACTTGTTGAATGCCACGGTCGGCTGGCAATAGCCGACAAACAAAACATGATTTTTGAGTACATTTAGTTGGTCGGTTATAGCAGACCGGCGGCTAAAATGTTAAAAACTTCTGTGACAGACACCAAATTGACGATTATTACAGTTACAGTTCTTACTCTAAAAATGTGAATTCAATGACGTCATAAGCCTCGCCAATAGGTCAAATCAATACTTTCGTACCTAAAGGATGATAAAAAACTGCTGACAGTTGTTTATTTTGATTTTGGACTTTTTACCAACGCAATAAAGATCAAAGTATTTTAGGGAACAGAGAGTATAGTTCCCTAAGATCGGAAAAGGAGGATCCTCCGACCAGGCGAGGAGATCGTGCGTGGCGGGCTTTCTGCTCGACGGTTGTTTGTTGAGATTTTCTACTCGTGTTAATTCGATTGTAAACTTCGCATGTGCGATGTAGGATTTTATGACGTCATCCATTGACATGTGACATGTGTAGCCACAGTATAATAAAAGATTGTATAAAAAAAACTACAAACCTGCAATAACACAGCGATTTCCGAGTCCCTCTTGCCAATCATAGACCTATCATTAATATTGGCGCTGCCACAAATAATGGTTTTGTCATCAGCTATGAGTAACTTCGAGTGCACGTACACCAACTCAGTGACTGGCTCCCCTCCCAGTACTGAGTGAGTTCGTAAGCCATGGAACGTTATGTATTCGAAGGGATCTGGTACGCCAGACTCGTACAGACGAGTTATTATTGCTTCGCGGCTCCTGAGAAATATACCAAAAGTTAGGTTGTTTCCAAAATAATATTCCATTTGTGCTCTTCACATAGTAGGTATTCCAAAATTAGATAATTAAGATTGGTTTTATATATAACCCGCCCCGGCTGCGCACGGGTGCAATATGAATGTATTATACATATAAACCAACATTAACACGTTCACTGTGCATGACCACGGGTGGGGCATATCGAGTCGCTCATTGTACGTGCATGACACATCGGTGGGGCATGCCTTTACGAGATTATACGTGCAAGCCCCGCGGATGGGGCTTACATTTACGAGATCATACGTGTATGACCCACGGGTGGGTCAATAAATAAAAATATTATTTAAACAAAGGGGGTATACAAAAACAGTCAACGTGTTAAGAATCACTCTATCTATTAAAGAAAACCGCACCAAAATCGGTTGCGTAGTTTTAAAGATTTAAGTATGTATACATAGGGACAGACAGACGGCGGATAGCGACTTTGTTTTATAATAAGTAAAGCAAATAAACATTTTAAAACATCATATGACTTAAAACTACACTTGCGTCATCTACAGAACAACAACAATTAGTATAAGAAGTATGTTTTTAACCTACCTGCATATGCTCTGGTAGTTCCAATGAGTGACGGCGTGCAGCGAGGTCCCGGAGGGCGCGCCGACCTCTCCCTCGAAGCCGGGCAGTAGCGGCATCACTACGAACACTCGGAACGTTTCCTTCGCACGGAACGCACGCATTATTCGATTGTATAGCGCCTCGCCTATCTGTGAGCAAATAATACAAAATCAATTGGGTATTTTCCTGGGTCAAAAATGAATAATTTTGATTTTTCAGTCCACTTTAATATTGAAACATAATTACACTTTCATTCGTTGATTTACCGATATACTTAATTTTCGATTTATTCTTGCATTTTTTTAGATACAAGTGTGCAATTTGACGCAAAAATATGATGACGTCATAAGATGGTATATCGTACAAAATTCATAGAACTGTATCGTTTTTGACGTTTCGATAAAAGTATTGATTTTGACTAGTTGCCAACTACTTTATTATTTAGGTTGCCTTCTGACTGCTCGCATTATATGACAAGTATGCTTTGTATAATTGTTTATTTGTAAACATACCCACGACAGACAGAAACTCCAACTAAAGTTTTAAATATAAAAATGATCCCCACTTTTCAAAATCCCCATTCATAATTTGACCGACCTCTAATTTCCAAATAACTTGTAAGTGCTTTGGTGTTGCCGATATTCATGGGCGACGCCGATTGCTTCCTATCACATTGCTGAGCATATTTCATTCAAAAAATGAACGTATTTTTACAAACTCACCTGATTCCTCACAGCCTGGCTAGAGCGTGATTGTGTGATGAAGAACTGATTCTCAATGTACACGTAATGCTGTGCCCTGGTTATAGTGTCTGCGTAGGCTTCGTGTATACTCTGTTCCACTGTGTCGGGGTCCAAGAAGCCACCTGACCAACTTGATAGACTACGGAGCACCTGTAAAGTGATGTATTAAAGTTAGCAATTTAATTTTACTCAAATTTAATTTAATGCTTGATGCTTTTTCTAGAGTTTTCTTCGGTGTCGTGGGTGCGTTTACAAACATACAAGTTCACATACATATGACACCATTTTTTTGAGGGGGGGAAATCATTTAATTACTTCTCCCACCTTGGGTTGGCAAGAGGGAGTGTCAGAGTCTTACTGACTAAAAACCACCCCGTTCCTACTCCTGCACTCGGAGCCTGAGCCCCGCTACCCGTTAGGCCTTCCGCGGTATACATTTGACACCTAGACCCGAAACAACAACGTGTAGATCATACAAATTGCTCCGTGCGGGAATCGAACCCGTGACACGTTGCGCGGCAGCCGGTTGCCCAACCACCGACGACCACTAAGGAACGGAAATTATAAAGATAAGGTTACCTGACAGGAGACAGTGTTAATATCAACTTCTAGTACTTTGTCCAGATCTTGTAGAGGTTTGATGTCGGAATATGCCTTCGGTAATAAGTACGGGTAGTTCGGATTTTGTCTGAAAATGAGGGTAAACGAGTAATTTTTATTTTAATGTCCGCCTGGTAGATTAAAAACATTAGACACGTATTTTTTATTTTCTTATAGAAGCGAATACTTTCGACGATATATTGATTTGAAATGTCGCATGACGACACTTCTCAGTACATTTTATACTAAGAAATGACGTTTTAGCTCCCACTCCTAAACTTTGATTCATTTTATTTAAGTATTGTTTTATTATACGACAAAATAAAAAAATACGGGTCTAATATTTTTTCATTGCCTAACTTATGGACTAATTATATTTTTAATGTTCATACCCTGTCATCATCCCTATTATAATTAACACTATATTAATGTAAAATTATTCTACGACTCGTGACAGTATACTGCTGGACTATTGGCCACTTCCACATTGAAGTGATTTGTCTCAATCTCTTCGCTTGGCTTCCAGACTGGAATTTAAAAGGTTCCGGTTTATCAGAGAGAGCGCGGCTGCCCGGTCTCTGTTAAGTGTGTAGACGCTTAGTCGGCTCTGCATTTTTTTTTATGGTATAAAGCGGTAAACGAGCTGACGGATCACCTGATGGTAAGCAATCGGCGTAGTATGGGAGAGCCATGCTTCGGCACGAATGTGCCGGCTCGACCGAAGTGATACCACCGCCTCACATAAAACCGACGTGAAACAACGCTTGTGCTGTGTTTCGTCACGTGACTGAAGTTACCGGAGGGCCAATTACCCCCTCCCCAATGTCACCAATGCCCGAATCCCCAACAATATTCAAATTCCTAATCCCCCAAAAGGCCGGTGATGCACTTGTACCTCTGGTGTTTCGGATGTTCATGGACATCGCTTGCTTACCATCAGGTGATCGAACTGCTCGTTTACCGGCTTCTTACATAAAAAACGAAACCTAGTGAACAGAAAACTTCTTTTTTTTATCGTTGCCCCACTCTCTCTTATCTCCTGTGTCGTGGGTGCGTTTACAAACATACAAGTTCACATACACATGACACCCAGACCCGAAACAATAATTTGTGGATCACTCAAAGTGTTGTTCCGTGCGGGAATCGAACCCGCGACACGTTGCACGGCAGCCGGTTGCCCAGCCACCGGACCAACCGTGCAGTCGAAGTACCTATGGGATTGGTAGGGCGGTAAACCTGTATAAATGTTTCTTATATCAACAGTTATGTACTACTCACCTAGCCTTCTCCAGTTTGATGGCGTTCCACCGCTGTATGAAGTGCCTGGCGACGTCCCTGGCGGCGGCGCCCTGCAGTACGACGCCGACGTCGTGCCACGGCATACGAGGCGTCGTGTTGCGGTCTACTAAGTCTGTAATACAATATTGGATTGTGTTAGGGATTTCAACATAATTTAACTTGAATTGAATTTGATAAGCGGTCTTAATCCCAAGTCTTTCGATTGATGTCATTTTTGACGCTAGTTCCACAGAATTTCAAAAGCTTATATTGATTCAAACGTTTTGTATGGAGATCGGAAAACAAAAAGTAATTGAGGTGTACTAGCTTTTAGCCGCGGCTTCGCTCGCGTCACCAAAGGATAAAAAGCCAATGTGACATATATCAATACACACAGCGCCATCTATACCAATACTTTTGTTTTCCCCTTGGAATATCAAATTTTTCCGGGATAAAAAGTACCCTATTATTTAATCCGGACTTTTAACTATACATCTGCAAAATTTCATAGCAATCGGTTTAGTAGTTAAGGCGTGAAAGTGGAACAAACAAACAACCTCACTTTCCGATTTATAATATTAGTAAGGATTTTTTTTTTTAAGGGGGTAAAATCATCGAATGACTGCTCCCGCCTGGGTGAGGCGGGAGGGAGTGTCAGACTGTTACTGACTAAAAACCACCCCGTACCTTCTCCTGCACGTCGAGCCGGAGCCCCGATTACCCGTTAGGTTCTCCGCGACATATTAGTAAGGATAAGGATGGATTTCCGTAAAGTAACGTCTGATTTATTCTATAAGGGTCGATTTTTCAATCATCAGTTAATTCTTAACTGTAGAATATAATTGACAGTTGACAACTTTTAGTATGAAAGAATTGCCAAATATAGAAAGTTATCTCCGGGTTAAAAATCTGAGCATTTAAAAATTGACCCTAAATTATATAATATTTCGTTTCTTTACCAGATACACTCATTATTATCACATTATAACCTAAATAAAGGATTCAATCTATTTAAAGCTTAAATAATTTCCATTTCTTATCGAGTAATATAACGTTTATATGATTGACAGACAATTTTTAAAATATATAACATAACATCACGCCGTTTATTTTCAAAGGGGTAGCCAGAGCTGCACATTACGGCACTTAATGCTACTGTACAATATAACACCCACTTCTCACTATTTATTTATGTTATGAGTCCCATGTAATAGGGGGTGAGACTATTGCCATATACCGGACCCAATTCTAGCCTCTGTGCAGTAGCACTGAGAATTTTTTTGAAACCCAGTATTACTTTATCTTCAGACAGTCAGTTTTTTTTAATATAAAACAAATACTCACCTACAAAAGGCAGATCTAAATTATTGAAGTCTTTTACAATGAAGTTGGTATAATCCTTTCCTATCCAGAGCTTGGAGTTTCCTTCTTTATGTTCCAATTCTTCTTTCGTCTGGTCTGTAATAACTCTCCCTTCAACCACCTGTGCTAACGGAGTTGGCTGACTAACATGTCTACTGTTAACCTCCACTGGTTTGATCCCCAGCGCATCAGTCAATAGAATCTGATCAGTAGACAAAGCATACTTCTCTGCCTTCTTTCTTTCAGAATCATCGAACTTCTGCTCATTTCTCTCTTCTTCGTACGGAGGGTAAAGAATACTAATAATATTTTTGCCTCTGTCAGTTATTTTGTCTAAGACATTTCTTCTTTGTACTTCTGGAGTATCGAGTGCGCTCTCTCGTTTGGTTGGGTCTATTTGAGCGTTGGCACTTCTGATGAGGAGCTGGTCTCCTGGCTCCAAGACTGGCAAGTTATCAGGGTTCTCTGTTGTACTAGGTTCAGGTTTAACTTCGTTGTTGTTTTCTTTTTCTGTTTGTTCGTCTTCTTCTTTCAATGTCGCACTGTGAATTGAAAGATTTAAATAAAAAATATGAGGTTATTTCAGATTTTTTTATAGTTTTATTTTAGTTTTTTTAGTCGTTAGGTAATAAATCAGGAAACAAGTTTCTAGCTTTAAAGGTTTTGTAATTAAAGATTTCACTTTAAGGTCCCTTAAATAGGGTAGTTGCCAGGGTATGAAAATTAAAAATGTAATTAGATAATGAAAAAATATTAGACACGTATTTTTTATTTTCTAGTATAAAGATTTAATACTTAGATAAAATGAAGTTTAGTTTAGGAGTGGTCATCACACGATATTTCAGATTAGTATATCGTCGAAAGTGAGAATTTAGAAAACTTTAGAGAAAATTTTGTGAGAATTTAGAAAACTACCCTATTCATGAAAATGTATTTAATTCATTTTTCATCTTCGTCATAAACCAGAAGACGTTCTCTATTGATCAAAAGCTTCCCCCTTAGCCCTTATGTCAAACAATAACGCACCACTCCCATCCATTTTCGTAGCTTACTCTGACATGACTCTAATCTTTAGGTAAAATTGAACCTTATTTCCATAGCCTTAACGTACATACATTCAAACTTACTCGTTTAAACTGATGACTAGATCCTTGGAGCTCCTAGCGAGTTCCAGGGCAGCCTCCAGTCCATTAGTATACGGTAGATACGGTCCACCACCTGGAGAGGACGATGTCTGTTTCTTCATTCGTAATAGGCTTTTAGGTTGGACTTCGTTGCCGAGGTCTATTAACCTGGAAAGAGATGTAGAATTTATGTTTTCGTAGTAATTTGACGATGTTAGAAGTTTGTTGTAGTTGTTAGAGTAATTTGACTGCTTTGTTCAAATCAAATTAAATCACTGTAATGTATCTATAGTGTGTACAGGGTCGTTTACAATTTTTGACATGTGTTCTGGCCCTTTTGGACACCGCAAAAGTACTTACTCTCACCTCGTTGGTAGAGTGGTCGCAAGTGCGACTGCGAATTGCCCGGCGCAATAGGTCTCGGGTTTGATTCCCGGGTTGGGCAAAGTGATACTGAGTTTAAAAAGAAATCTCAGTAGTAGCACAGAGTCTGGAATTGTGCCCGGTATATGGCATTAGGCTCACTCCCTATTACATGGGACTTGGGACTTATAATAAAATTAGTGAAAAGTGGATGTTACATTGTATTTCTGTATTTATCTGCCTACTATGCCTTCAGGGATAAAAGGCGTGATGTTATGTCAAAAAATAATTACCTATGTTTATAGTCGTCCCATCGTCCATAGCAGAGATCGATGCCGCCCACAAAGGCGACAGTTTGGTCGACACAAACGATCTTCTCGTGATGCGCCCAGAACAAGACGCCGGCTTTCGCATGGTCGGGGTGACGGAATACCTGAAAACGATGATTATTACAAGAAATTATTTTTAAGGAATTGTCGACGTTATAAAGCATTTATTTCCATTAATCATTAAACAGGCACAATCTCAGTAGTAGCACGGAGTCTGAAAATGTGTCCGGTATTGGGACAAGCCCGCCACAACCTCCCAAAACCGCTGCAACTCCTGTAAGCCAGGATCTACAGTAGATACAACCATGAAAACACCAGAATACTGAAGTCCGGCGCGTCTCAGGGACATGAGTAACTGTCTTGGTTCCCGCAACGAAGTGAATCAGAAGATATTATAAGAGGAGAAGAAGAAAAAACTATGGTTTCCACTTCCCTCGGTGAATTACTGCAGGAGACAGAATGAATTAAGCCTAAAGGCACTTTTAAACTGTCAAACACCAAGCGGTCACCGGTGACCGCAACCTATTGTTCTTCCTCTATAATTGTGTCTACAAAACCGGTACTCGACGAGTTAATATGTCAAAATTAGTCAGCGAAGAGTTTTATGTGCACGATGTGTTGTGGTACACACGGCCACATATCAGTCTATACAAAACCAGTTTGTCCTGGTGTCGCGTCACATCATCTTTCCGCACATTTAACGTTCAGTTTATACTGGTTATGTAAAGCTCGACGTGTAGCCGTGCCTATAGTATGTTGTATTTTAAACTACAAATGATAAATGGTATGTTCTAACTAGTATGTATATTTTTAATTACCTTAATATATTCGCTAGCTAATTTACTTTTGCTATAGAAGCTGTTGATACCGAGTGCCATCTCCACTTCCTTGTACAGCATTATGAATATTTTTACACCTTGCGCCTGGAAATAGAAGCAGATACTTTTTATAAGAGCTCAAAGAATCACTACAGCATCCACGATAGCACACAGGATCGCTTCGTACTCACATATACACTCACGCACACAAACAAACACTCACACACGCACACAAACAAACACTCACACACGCACACAAACAAACACTCACACACGCATGTTACGTATCGGTGCCGACACATGTACCTACACTGTGTCACGAGGCCCAGATCTGCTGAAGCAGGACATTACACCTACTTTGATGCAACGAAAACCGACGTGAAGTTACGTTTGCGTTGTGTTTCGTCGTGTGAGTGAGGTTACTGGAGGCCCAATTACCCTCCCCATCCCCAATATCCCCAATTCCTGAATCCCCAAAAGGCCAGTAACGCATTTGTAACGCCTCTGGTGTTCCAGGTGTCCATGGGCGACGCCAATTGCTTACCATCAGGTGATCCGTCAGCTCGTTTACCGGCTTATGCCATAAAAAAAATGAAGGTTCTACGGAGTATTGCAACCTTCGAACTGCTGAGTCGTCTCCTCTTGTCGCCGCCTTGTGCCCACATACACGCACACATAAACAAACACACACGCACACACACACAGATGCAAGTATCGCGCATACAGATTTTATTCAAAACCCACTAACCGCCTTCCTCTTCAACAGAGTATCAAGCCTCCAATAGCTGCCATTAAGGGCTGGTCTCTTCAAATATATCTCCGGACTGAGCCACCAGTCTGCTATAAAGATCTCCTCTTTAGCCAGTTCCATGGCATCGGCTACAGCGGAGAGGTACGCGGAGCCGTCCACTAACGTACCCACTGGGGTGGCTGCGCGGGGCGGGGCGAAGGAATGGTGGAGATTTGGGTACGTGAAATCTCTAGCTGAAAGTGGAAGAGGTTATTTTGAGTTTTATAAATACACAGTGGGTCAGCAATTCAACGTAGTCTAATAATATGTAATTATTTTTATTGAATTTTCGACTTACTTAACTAAACTAAAACATAACATAACATCACGCCTTTTATCCCCGAAGGGGTAGGCAGAGGTGCACACAGAGGTAACACCCACTTTTCACTATTTATGTTATGAGTCCCATGTAATAGGGGGTGAGCCTATTGCCATATACTGGGCACATTTCCAAACTCCGTGCTATTACTGAGATTTTTTTTTTATAAAAACCCAGTAATACTTTGCCCGACCCGGGAATCGAACCCCAGACCCCTCGCCCGGCAGTCGCAATTGCGACCACTCGGCCAACGAGGCAGTCGGGCAGACTAGGGACATGAACACGTATCCATTAGTATCTACTTATACAATAACACATATGTACATTTCACTTGTTTTTTAGCGTGAAATAAATTTTTCTTTTTTTCGTTCTTTCTGAATATACTGAGAAAACCTCTACCAGTTTCGAGACACAGATGAAATGATGATGAATCCGCTGCTCATGATGGTTCCTCATAAGCTGCGTCCGCGGTCGCGGCGATATCGCGCAGCCTACCTCTGTAGTTTGAAACTAGTGGAGCTTTTCTCAGTATATTCACGTGAGTAACTCGCTATATTTAGTTAATTTAGTATGTCTCACGATAGCTGGTCAAGAGGTCTCGAGTTCGATTCCCGGGTCGGGCAAACTATTCCTGGGTTTTTAAAAATCTCAGTAGTGGCACGGAGCCTGGAAATGTGCCCGGTATATGGCAATAGGCTCACCCCTATTACATGGGACTCATAACATAAATAGTGAAAAGTGGGTGTTACATTGTACAGTTGTATAATGTGCACCTCTGGGATGCACACGCGCATGCCTCATGCTCTACCCCTTCGAGGATAAAAGGCGTGATGTTGTTGTTATGTTTAATGTGAATCTGATTTGTGTTTGCAGGTCACAGAATAAATCAATTTGGAAAAATATTTTCCACTAGTTTTACTGACCAGTCTGATTAGCAACAGTTTTGAGGTGCTGCATCCATTCTTTACTCTTTCGCTTGGTCCAGCATTTGATCACCATCTGTCGACTCTGGTTGAGGATCTGAAGACCATGGTTCATTCCCGTTGAGTACATACCGCTTGATACTTCAAACCTGAAGAGAAAATATTACAGTTTCAAAAAAAGAATAATTATATATATGTTTAGGATTTAGTAAATTATCTCTTGACTTGTAATTAATTGTAAATTGACTGCCTCGTTTGCCGAGTGGTCGCAAGTGCGGGTTCGATTCCCGGGTCGGGCAAAGTATTATTTGGTTTAAAAAAAATCTCAGTAGTAGCACGGAATCTGGAATTGTGCCCGGTATACGACAATAGGCTTACATGGGACTCATAACATAAATAGTGAAAAAGTGAGTGTTACATTGTACATTGTGGTGAGTGGCATTAAGTGCCGTAATGTGCACCTCTACCTACCCGTTCGGGGATAAAAGCGGTGATGTTATGTTGTATTTTATATATTAACTCGTCGAGTACCGGTTTTGTAGACACAATTATAGAACAATAGGTTGCGGTCACCGGTGACCGCTTGGTGTTTGACAGTTTAAATGGTATATTGCCTTATTTTTTGACCTCAAAGTGTATCCTTATCGAGCTCCTCTCGCTTAGGGAAAAGGGAGTATTCCGACAAGTCGGCTTAATTGATCGGCTGTTACATAATCGGTCGCAGGTTAAAAAGAAAGCAATTAGAATCCACGCAATCCAATCAATCATGCAATGTATAACAAACAATAAGTACCATTTTAATCAAAATGACATGATGTAGTAAAATAAACCTTATTACAATGGTACAAAACACACATTAATAAAGTTATCGATATATTAAAAATATAAGTAACGTGATTGTTGTATGTGATGTTTAAAAACCAATTGTTTTATTCATAAACAACGAATGAACAAACCCATTATATAGTTAACTAAGCCTTCTATAGGCAATAAGGCTCATATTTGTTTGATGAATAATATTATAAAATGTACAATAACTTACACCTCGACACTATTATTACAATTTTAGCACAATCGACATAAACTAAATTATACTTACTAATCATACTGCGTGCTGCGTGAAATAAAAGAAAATACATTAACTTTAAAAGGATGTGTTATTTAATACTTGGTTAGCAAGTAGCATACTAAGTCTAAGACGTCTAAGTACATTTTTATTTTTATTTTTTTGAGGGAGGAAAATCATCCAATTACTTCCCCCGCCTGGGTGAGGCGAGAGGGAGTGTCAGAATTGTACTGACTAAAAACCACCCTGTTCCTGCTCCTGCCATTCGAGCCAGAGCCCCGGCAACCCGTTGAGTCCTCCGCGGCTTCGTATCGGCGTCTAAGTACACATGGAACATCACTGTCATCTAATTCCTCCTCCCCGAAAATAATGACTAAGATTTAGGTCGTAAGTGACGCTAATTCACTATTAATTCTCATAGTCAACGCGTAAACAATATTGTCTAGTCATTGATCAGTCACCGCATAGCAGTGGTTAACAGTAGAATTTATTATTGCATTAAAGTTACTAAGTCTTGGTGGAATTCCTGCTGTATCGAATACCGTGCCTCAAACGTGACAAGATTATTTATTGGTTTGACTATAAAATTTTATAATTTCGATTTTTAAATCATTAGAAGCACTAAGTGCCCCTTTACATTAGAATGTTAGCAGCGCGAGAGAGTAGCGCGGCAGAAGCGCATTCATCATGAGAACAGCTGCGTGCGGTAGCGGCACTACTAACGAGTGCCGCTACCGCACCGCAGTTAAGTTCAGTGTGGCGCATTTCATTTGTAAAATATATAAATAATATTCATATCTCTAGTAAAACATCAAAACATCATCCACAAAGACCAGGAGATGGTTTATCGACTTATTTGCAACACTGGCTCATCGCCATCACACGCGGCCGCAGCGCGCGACCGCCGCGCTTCTGTTTAAACTATGGAATTCTGAAGGCGCGACAGTCGCCCTGCTAATCGCCTAAATGTGAAAGAGCTCTTAGTTGGCATTATAATAATAATAATACCAGCTTCTGCATCATTCAAAATGGACAGACTCAAAAAAGTTTGAATACCAATTTCAAGTTAATAACTCACATTTGATCAAACAGCATAACAGCTTTCACGACGCCATCCCTCGGTCGAATGTACCCGAAGAATGTATCTTTCACGAAGAACCATCGTTCCTGCCATTTGGCACACAGCAGACCAGTACAGAAATAGTTGCACCTGTAACACAAACATTAGGCATAAGTATATTAGTTTAATTGGCGTTTTTGGTCAAAAATTTGTGTAGGTCATCGTCATCTTTACGGAGACTTAACGGGGTGACAAGAGCAGAAGTGGGAACGGGGTAGTGTTTAGTCGTAACAGTCATCTGGACGTCTGATGTCGTGGTTGCCCGGAGATTTAAGATGCCCGCTTCTCATGCATGAGGGTGCGGTCGAAACCTACCAACTGCAAGTACCAATGACTTTTTCCGAGTTACATGTACTTTCCAAGATTATCTAGACACCACTGACAAATGGTGAAGGAAAGCATCGTGAGGAAACCTGGACTTATAATTTCTATTTATAAGTTTGTAATCACCAACCCTCATTGAGCAAGTGTGGTGATTAACGCTCAAACCTTCTCCGTGTGAAAAGAGGCCATTGGTCAGCAGTGGCCACTTATAGGCTGTTGATGAACATCTGGACACTCCCTCCAGCCTCACCCAAGGCGGGATGTTCATTGGGTGATTTTCTCACACTTTTCTCGCACGGAAAAGTAATGAGCTTTGATCACTACACCTGCTCAAGGGAGATTGGCGATCAAAGTTTTAATTTGAAATTGTATAGTACAGGTTTCCTCACCATGATTTTCCTTCAGTTTTGTTAATGGTGTCTATATAAATATAGGAAGTACAAGGATACTAATTTACTTGGTGTATTCGGCCCAACATTTGTATAGTTTCAGCAAGAAGAAGAAATGAACCTTGACAATATTGTATAAAGTTCATTTTGTAACAGCAACAGAAATGATTTGTAACTAAAAACTACGTAATCTAACCTCACACAAACCATGTTTCCGAGGAGACCGAAGCAGTTGCAGCCAGCTTGCCCCGGCTGAGTCGAACCGGTGCGTTTCAGTATCATGCCCTCCTTGCCTTTACCGCCTAAGTCCGATATGAACGATAGATTTGAAACTTCTAGAAACTTTACCTGGAACAAGAAAACATATTATGATTGTGTTGTTGACTGGGTAACAGAGAGGGTAACAGGGTAAGTATAGAGTGTTTTCGGTTTTTCGACAAATTCTCAGCAGTAGCACGTAGATCTGAATTGTTTATAGTGTTATGTCAATAGGATCACCTTCAATTATGCGGGTTTGTATAGACGTAACTGGGGGCTTACTCTTAAATCCAATTCCGATCGATCAGCATTGGTACTCTTGAGTTGCAACACTAGCGCCCATTACATCCTTATTGCGTGGATATTGACTGAACTAAATGGTATTGAGTTTAGCTTTATATTCTGAATGCTATTTTAACAACTACCTACGATAGGGGTTGTATAGTGTTAAATAAATATTGAGCTTTTATGGATTGAAATTGCATTGACATAGAGATTAGTTTCAAGAGTATGGTTACGTTGTGACATATAGTACGTCAAATGTAACTTACTGCTGTACCTCTAAGCAGTTACATTATTATGTATTATCCTTCAATAAATATAATGCGTAATGTTATATTAAGAACAAAATATTTTGCTCAACCTACATTGATCTTTGGTTTAAAACCGCAGCCTTGATTGCACAATATTGAACTATTGTCCTTATAAAGTACCTATATAAACTCATTGTTTGGAGACAAATAAATCCATACAATGATAACATTGATTTATTTGTATTTAATAACAGCAAGTATATTTATGTTAATATTTAAACTTTCGTGAGACATACATAATGTTTTCCGTTTACTGATGTAACTGTTTGACGAGGAACTCGACTAGTTTCGGCAGTTCTCGGAATATAAATGATACCGTACAACTGTGGCGAGTGTCGAGTTACATCGGGGAGACTCGCCGCAACGTCACAACAAGACACAAAGAATACATATGCAGTGTGAAGAACCAGGACACTCATACATCGGCAGTCTCGTTAAAATAAGTGAAAGAAACTTTAAGGAGAACCCGAGTTATATAGAAAGGACAATGCCAGGTGCTCAGTACATCTTTGACCCACTATATTAGAAGTCATGTACTAGTATGCAGTATTCAGCATCGTGTAGTGTATTAATTACCGATATCTAAACATTTGTCCTGAAACCTGTAAAACTTGCGGTTTTTGTTTAAAACACAAAACAATAATGATAACTATCGCGAAAACAACGGAAACGCAGAGAGCGAATGAAAGATAATATTGACACTGACAGCTGACAACTGACAAGCGCTTCAAAACGTTTCATTACACAAAAAAAAAATCATAACTAATGATAGTAATCGTTTCTTTTATATTTTCGTGATTTCATCTGTAATCATTAATAAATAAATAAATGTTATACATAATTATACTTTTGATATAATATTTTATGTATAATAATATCTTCATTACAGTTACTTACTTTTTTATATTCATAGTTTCGTACAAGCGATGCGTATGATGTAACGCCAATAGTCATTAGACAATATGGAAGACGCGTTGCAAAAAAGTATTTCGGGGATTGAACTTCTTTTTTTATTAGATTGCAAACCGCAAGTTTAAAAATAAAAAGATTTATTGTCAAAAGGTTCCTTATTCGTCTAAATTATTTTCATCAATTTACTTTTTTTGTAAATGATATTATGACTGGGTCAGGATCTGGCATTGTCATTTAGGTATGTCGTTGACACATAGTTGAGAAAGAACTTTGAATCAGACTACATTTCTATCAGATATTTTAGCTATTAAAGTACTTTTAATTGATTTAAACTACATGCTCGATACGTACAGAGTAGGAATAGGGCCCGGTATATGGCAATAGGCTCACCTCCTATTACATGCGACTCTTAACATAAATAGTGAAAAGTGGGTGTTACATTGTACAGTGGCATAATGTGCACCTCTACGTACCCCTTCGGGGATAAAAGGCGTGATGTTATGTTATGGGTGTTACATTGTACAGTGGCATTAAGTGCCGTAATGTGCACCTCTGGCTAACCCTTCAGGGATAAAAGGCGTGATGTTATGTACTCAATACGTTAAGAGAATCTTTAAAAAATCCCATGACTGTACACCAAATACATTATCATCCAGCCACATGACATCTACTGCTAAACATGGCACATAGGCCTACCCCAATGACTTACAGATCGAACAAAACAAAATTTATAGAAAGTAGAAACTATAAAACATAGATTCTACTACAAAAACAAATCAATTCAGAACAAACCCACAATAGTATTACAACAGTTTTTACCTACATAATTCAATTTACTATAAACTATAAGGTACATCCGGAATACAGAATCATAGTAAAAAACGTCCTTCAATCAAAATTAAACCTTCAGTTCAACAAGGTAAGGTAAAAAATCGCGTAGCTGTATTATTGTTAACATCCTTGATTTAAAATTGAACCTTCAGTTAAAGAAGATAAGGTAAAAAATCGCGTGGCTGTATTATTGTTTATTCTCCATTGAAGTGTGACTGTTTGAAGGCGAATGTGAAGGTAACTTACCGTTTCATGGTGGTTCCTGTATATCGAGATGTTTAGGAGGTTGTATAGATACTCCTCAAGCTGCTTCATTCTTAGCTGGATGCCCTCGTATGTCACCATTACTTCGGGTTTCTTTGGAAATCTGGAATCATTAAGAACTTTCGTCAGTTGAGTCACCGAAGTAACCGCATTTGGAACTTACTGGGCCAGCTTTCATAGATAATGACAGAAATCAGTTGCTGCGTTCTAATTTCTAACTTATCCTTTCGCAATAAGGTTGAAAATCTATTAATAACAGAGGATAGCTTATTATCAGCATTCCAGTTTTATGCTGGACATCGATACAAAAATCATGACATCATTAGTGAATGACAGTCGGCAGTCAGGCATGATCATTTAACGAAAGTAGTGACGCGTACCACTTTACTAGTACATCAAGGCAAACATGATGGTACATAATAACAAAATTAAAGACTACAGAAGTCTTACAACAAATAAATTATTAATTAAGCACTACTTACCTAGGCAGCGCTCCTTTCCTCTTCCTAGGCCTCACCGCTCTCCTAGAATTACTTCTAGGCACAGCTTGCATGGCAACCCTTTCAGCCTTTTCTTCCGTATCAACAGTATTCTTGAAGCTGGCTCTTCTAGTTTTATGGGTTTTGGTGGGGAAGGGAATGTCCAAAGAGGTTCTGTATAGAGTGAGCTGCTGATGAAGGTAGAGTATGTGCTTGTAACGCTTCTTGATCGTCCAGTTGAATTCACCATGTTGGAGGTAGATTGTGTATCTGGAATAAATTTCGGTTTGTACAACTGAGGGAAGAAGAAACTTATGTACCGCTTTTTAAGGGATAGGCAAACAAGCAAACTGATGACTGCTTAATACAGAGGCCTTAGTACAAGTTTATTTTACGTTTAAAGTAATCGTAACGAGTACACGTTCGGCGCTGTGATTGGTGCCGACCAACGAACAAACCAATCAGAGCATCGAATGCCGTCTCGTTTCGATTAATTTAAACGAAAAAGAAACTAGTATTAAGTAGTTTGCCAAACCGTCCCTATACGTTCTAATGAACAAGGTGTTAGAAGAACTAAGTTCCTTTGAAATCGTAACCATAGGTAGATCCTCTTACGGAGCCGCGGAAGATTTAACGGGTTGCCGGGGCTCCGGCTCGAAGTGCAGGAGTAGGAACGGGGTGGTTTTTAGTCAGTAAGAGTCTGACACTCCCTCCCGCTTCACCCGGGCGGGATAAGTCATTGGATGATTTTCCCCCCTCAAAAAAAAAGGTAGATCTTCTTACATAAGTCAACAGCAACATCAAGTCTATAAGTGGCCACACTGCTGACCAAAGGCCTCTTCTCACACGGAGAAGGTTTAAACATTAATCTCTACGCTTGCTCAATGCGGGTTGGCGATTTCAAATTTATAATTAGGTATTATAAGTTCAGGTTTTCTCACGATGTTTTCCTTCACCGTTTGTCAGTGGTGTCTAAAAATTCTTAGAAAGTATATACATATAACTCGGAAAAAGTCAAATTGGTATTGGCTGTTGGTAGGTTTCGAAGTCGCATCCTTATGCATGAGAACCAGGCCTGTTAATTCTCCGGGCCACCACGGCCGTAAGTACGGAAAATTATTTACATTTTACAGTGTAACTCAGCGTTTCCATTGTAAAGGAAGAATTAACAAAAAGGCGAAAATGTTAAACAACGTTTACCTTTTAATAAACTGGTCATTACAAAGATAATTGTAGGTAAATGTATCTACCTATACCTGTTCTACTTTTGCTTACCATAACAAGGTAAAATAATAAAGATAACAGTTATGCAGGTATTATAATAAACATACTTCGTCATGTCGGAAAGTATGGGATAATATACATATACAAACAACAATGAGTACTTATTGCATAATTTTATTACAGTTCAGTTTTGTTGTTTGAGGGGGTGAGATGGGTGCTAATACAGTGTGGGAGAGCCATGCTTCGGGACGAAGACCCAGCTCGATCGGAATGATACCACCACTTCAAAAAATATCTACATGAAACAATGCTTGCGTTGTGCTTGGCTGCGTGTCTGGGGTTATTGAAGGCCCAATTAAAAACAAAATGGCGAATCCCAAACAGCCGGCAACGCAAATGTAACTTCTTTATTATTACGTGGAATTTATTGTTTATCACGTGATACATAGGCCCGTTTGATGGCCGGCCTATCCCTTAAAAAAATCAGACGTGTCAACTGGTGGTCAGTTATCTGCGTTCCATAGATACCGCTAACACGGGCAACTTCAGAGGAGTTAGAATTGCGGTCTTTTGGTATTACCCAATTATTATTATTAATTAGTTAAAACTGAGGTATTGGTACAGTTAAGCATGGCTCACTGACGTACATGATATTATATTATTATTGTTAGTTAGTTGCTATCTAAAATACCCGTTAGTCATATTAACAAATTCAATATTTTCAACATAACAACGTTTTTTTTTTAAGGGGGGAAAATCATCAAATGACTGCCCCCGCCTGGGTGAGGCGGGAGGGAGTTTCAGACTCTTACTGACTAAAAACCACCCCGTTCCTTCTTCCTGCACGTCGAACCGGAGCCCCGGCTACCCGTTAGGTTCTCCGCGTCAACATAACAAGGTTTAATATTTTTCCTTTACAGTGATTTAGTGTAAAAAACCGCATTTTGAATAAAATTGTATACTCATTATCGTTATTTTCATGTTCTGAACGTCACAGTGACTGTATTATGAAAGCTATGACGCAAAGAGTTAAGCCATCCAATTTAGCATTTAACTGTAATTTGCGAACAAAATTACAACATCACATTGACTGAAAATCAACACCGAGCAAGATTATCCGTGGCTTATCTGTACATATTTATATTGAACGAGGAAATATTTTAATAACA